TGCATTCCTGAATATCACAGATTTATGTGAAATGACTTTAAGTGAAACACAGAAAATAGGAACAAGAGTAGACCACTCAGCCCAGTGAGCCTCATTGGCCGTTCAGCGTAAATATAAATATCCTTCACCTCAACACGATACAACCAATCTTACCCCAAACGCATTGACCTCTCTATCCTCCAGAAACTTATTTCTTTACTAAATGCACTCAGTGGCTTGGCCTCCACAGCCTTCTGCGATAGGGAACTCACAAATGTTTCACCATCTGAGTGATGAAATTTCTTTTCATCTCAGTCAGAAATAGCGTTACCCATTATCCTGAGATCATGACTCCTCTTTCCAGACACACAAGGGAAACATTATCCCTGCGGCCTGTCAGCCCAGCCCTGTCAGAATTTTATATGTTTTAATGAGATCCTCTCTTATTCTTCCAAATTCCAGTGATTACAACCTTAATTGACCCAATCTCTCCTCGTATGACAAAATTGCTAACTCAGAAATCAAGTCTATTGTTTTTTGTTGCACTCCCTCTATGGCAAGTACATATTTTCTCAGGTAAGGAGACTAAAACTACATATAGTAGTCTTACCAAAGTTCTGTATGGCTGCAGTAAACCTTCCTTGTTCCTGTACTCACACCCTCTTGCAATTAGGCAAAAATACCATTTACCTTCCTAACTGCTTCCTGCATGCTTGTTTTCATTATAGAATTAAGCGCTGCTGCCAGCAGCAGAAACTTGAGCAGTGGGTTTCAGAGCTTGAGCAGATACTTTGGAATATCTGAGAGGATGAAACTTATGAAGATAGATTGCACATGACAGTATAAGGCCGAATGGCAGAAAAGAAATGTGCGACTGCCAGGTGGTCCAAAACAAACAGGCAGGTTCTGCAGGAGTGGGTTTCGCTCACAAATCATTTTCCTATTTTGAAAGCTGTTAAAGACACTAGTTCCTCAAGGGAGTGTAATCAGAGCCCCATTTGTGGCACCAATAGCGATGGGGGGATTTATTACTTAGGGGAACAGACAGGTTTTTCTGTGGTCATAGACATGAGTATAGGATGGTATATTGCTTCCCTAGTGTCAGGGTCAAGAAACTTACTGAGCAGCTGCAGAACATTCTTCTGTGAGATGGTGAACAGCTAAAGATCATGGTCTTCTATGGGCTCAAAGACTTAAATAGGAAGGAGGGGTGTGGTCCTACAATTAGAATTTAGGAATATGTCAAAAATTAGCATGCAGGACTTCAAGTGTAGCATTTTCCAGGTTGATTCCAGTAAACCATGTGCAAGTGAGTACAGAAATATGATAAGGCAGATGAATGAATGGCTGGAAAGGTGATCCAAAATTTAGATTCCTCAACTTTTAATTATCCAAATATAGACTGGGAAACTTGTAGTGGAAAAGGCAATGAGGGTCAATCATTCCTGGATTGTGTTCAGGGGAATTTCCTATAATAATGTGTCCAGTCCAACAAGAAAGGAGACACTGCTACTTCTAGTTGTTGGATATGAGCTGGGCCAGATAGATGAAGTGTCAGTAGGTAAACATTTAAGTATCATAAAGTTTAGGTTGATGGTGGAGAATGGTAACGGTCAGTCAAGAGTAAAACAAAATCAGTTGGCCGAGATGTGGCTCCAATAGGGCAAGAATGAAGCTGGGCAGGATACGCTGAAACAAAAGATTGGTGAGAAAACTGTAAATGAACAATGGGCTACCTTAACAGAGGAGATGATTTGGTACCATTGAGGTATATCCCCTCATAGGGGAAAGGGAGTAAAAACAAATCCAATGCTTACTGGATCACATAGGAGTTAGAATTTAAGATGAAGAAGAAAATATATGATTATGACAGGTTACAGGTAGTTGAGAAACAGATGAGAACCAAGGAGAGTTTAAAAAGCATATTAAAGAACCAAAGAAACATTATGAGGAAAGACTTGCAGCCAAATAAAGGGACATCCCAAAGTGGTATTAACAGTTATAGAGCGGTAAAAGGAATAGAGCTAATTAGGGCAAGAAACAGTATTTATAACATGGAGGCAGGGCGCACTGACTGCTTTGTATTTGTTTTTACCAAAGAGGTAGATGATGCCCATACCATAGTGATGATGGCGGTGGGCGGGGGGGGGGGGGGGGGCGGGGGTTTTACTATCACTAGAAGGGGTCAAGACTGATAACAAGGAAGTGTTAAAATTGGCACTGGGGCCAAATGAGATGCATCCAAGATACTGAAGGAAGTGAGAATGGATACTACAGAGGCTCTGGCGGTAGTCTTTCAGTATTCCCTAGATCAGGGGAGGTGCCAGAAAACTGGAGAATTGCAAACATCGTGCCATTGTTCACAAGACATTGTAAGGATAAGCCCAGAAATTACAGACCAATCTGTTTAACACGGTGTTGGGAAGCTCCTAGAAAAAAAATTAATGGGAATGGAATTAGTAGTTTCTTGCAAAAAAAAAGGTAGGTTGGTTAAAAGGGTCAGCATGGATTTCTAAAGGGAAAAACATGTTTGACTACCTGTGAGATTTTTGAAGAGGTAACAGAAAGAATCGATGAGGATATTGCTGTTGATGTCGTGTATATGGTCTTCCAGAAGGTACTTAATACATTGCAGCACAGTCAATTTGAAAGAGATTTTATAGTTCATGGAATAAAACGGACAGTAGCCAGGTGGATACAAAATTGGCTGAGTGATAGCAAACAGAGAGTAATGGTCAACTAATATATTTCAGGCTGGAGGAATATTTGTAGTTTGTGGTGGAGTTCCCCAGGAGTCAGTATTGAGATCTATGCTTTTCCTGATCTATATACATATTCATGATCTAAGTATTGGTATACAGTGGACAATTTCAAAGTTTGCAGATGCTTCAAAATTTGGAAGCACTGTAAACTGTGAACAGGACTGTTGAACTTATAAAAGGACATAGACAAGTTGCTAGAACAGACAGGCAGGTGGCAGGCGAAGAGAAGTATGACGTAACACATTTTTGTAGGGAAAGCATGGAGAGACAACATAAAATACAAGGTACAATACTTCAGGGGGTCAAGGAGCAGAGAGACCTGGGCATATATGTGCATGCATTACTAAAGGTGACAGGACAGCTGGAGAGTTATCAAATTTACTTTATACTGGGCTTTATTAATAGGGTACAGAATGCAAGAGCAGGAATGTGATTCTGAAATTATATGACATTTGTTAGACCTTAGCCGGACAGTTCTGGACCTCATACTATAGGAGGATGAGAACACATTGGAAAGACATTGGCAGAAGGGATTTACAAGGCTTGTTTCAAGGATGAAGGACTTCAGTGGGGAGGCAATGACCTAGTGATAATACCACTGGACTGTTAGTCCAGCAACCCAGGTAATGTTCTGGGGACCTGGGTTTGAATCCCACAATGGCAGATGGTGGAATTTGAAATCAATAAATATCTGGAATTAAGAGTCTTATAACGACCACAAATCCATTACCAATTGTCAGGGGAAAAAACCCCATCTGGTTCACTAACCAGGGAAGGAAATTGCTATCCTTACCTGGTCTGGACTACATGTGACTCCAGGTCCACAGCAATGTGATTGACTCTGAACTGCCCTCTGGGCAATTGGAGATGGGCAATAAATGCTGGCCTAGCCAATGACACCCTCATCTTCTGAATGAATAAATAAGTTACAAGACTAGATTGGAGAAGTTGGAGATAGTCTCCTCGAGAAAAGACCAAGTGGGAAACTTAGAAGTTTTCAAAATCATGAGCATTTATAAAAGGATCAAGAATCAGATTTAAAGTGACCTACAAAAGAATACATGTGAAATGAAAACCAATTTTTCTCAAACAAAAACAAATGTTTCAGGTCTGGATTTCACTGCCTGGAAATGTGGAAGCAGGTCCAAGGTATTCAAACTAGTGTTTTGTTTTTATTTTAAGGATCACCATTGTGCAAAGCAGAGGAGATTAAATAAGAGAACAATACTAAAATCATGAAAAAAAAAACTGCAGATGCTTGAAATCTGAAACAAAACCAGCATCTATGGAGTGAAAGAGTTAATATTTCAGATCTAGTGACCCTTCTTCAGAACTGATAGTAGCAAGAAAAATGTAAACAAGTAGAAGATGGGAGGTGGAAAATAGTACACAATAGGTGGAGATGGAGTCCACCCAGAGAGAAAACAGCAGTGAGGCAGACAAAAGGACAGTTAATGGTGAGCCAGGGAAAAAGGAAAGCTGATAATGGGGCCCATTAGTAGTTGAAAATGGGTTGGCTGTTGAGTAAAGCAATCCATGTCATGTCAGGTTCAGGCATGTAGGAGTGGATAAAAGGTCATTAGAAGACGTCTAGGCCCTAAAATTATTGAAGTCGATATTGAGACCTGAAGTTGCATAGTCCCCAAACAGAAAGCTTCTGTAGAAAATCCCTGCAGCCTTCGGGACTCAATATCAATTTCAATTATCTAGGTTCAATAATCATTTCTGAAGAAGGGTCTAGGCCCCAAACGTCAGCCTTCCTGCTCCTCTGATGCCGCTTAACTTGCTGTGTTCATCCAGCTCTACACCTTGTTATCTCAATAATCTAGGTGCCTGAACACCTATGCCCTCCCACTCCCGTCAGCATATACTAAGTTTTTTTCCTTCCTTTTGGTTCTGAAGGGTTACTGGACCCAAAACGTCAACCGTGTCTTTCTGTCCACAGGTGTTGTTAGACACGCTGATTTTCTCCAGCAGTTCCGGTTGGGTACTCAATCGTGACGGACCGAATGGACTGTTTGCATCACAACATTTATGCCACTCTTGACTCAAGCTGTACGGGAGCAACACTGGCCTTCCCAGTATCTGAAACAAAACCAATTCTTCCAAACCGCCACAGCAACTGCTGGTATTTCGTCCCAACCGTCGGTACGGGGAGACCCGCCTCCTGGCTCCTTTCGCGCTTCTGATTGGATCTTGCCTGCAGTCAGTCAGAAGCTCCCTGTGACGTCTGGCACAGACCGGCTACATGACAGAAGGAGGTGGTGCTGATTGCGTCATTTCCTGTAACTGGTTTCCGGGAGACGGGTGGGAATTTTCGTCATGGGTTACAGTGGTTTGACGGTCCCCATTATCGTCCTCACTGTTTTCTGGGGTGTCGTGGGCGGTGTTGTGCCCTGGTTCATCCCGAAAGGACCAAATAGAGGGTAAGACTAGTGGGGGCGAGTGGGAGGTGCTAAAAGAGGGCGCACTGCCGTAGGCAGCAGATTACTCCTTGCGAAGCTGGGGAGGTGAATGGAGGGTAAATCTGTCTTGTTAAAGGGCAGTGTAGGTGAGAGGCGCTGTTCTGGTGAAGTGTGGATGTGGGGGAGAGGTTTGCCCAATAAAAGGGGGGGGGGAAGGGAGGAGAATTGCCCAATATTTGGGCAAGGAATAGTCTCCATTGCTAGGAACAATGAGACCCCAAGCATTTTGGGGCAAGAGCGAGCCAAAGGTATGAGTAGATAGTAGCTACTTTGAGAATGGGTTTAAGAAAATGCTACGCGTAAAGAGTCAGCTGCTGTACTCTCACATTGTTGTGGGTATGAGAAAAGTAGGTGAAGAAGGTAGCTTGCCTTGGGCGGAGTAAATGTTCAGTCTTCGAGAGAAATGGGAAATCACTGTGAACAGAAAATGAGTAGACTAAGCCATAGTAAGGAAGGTGTTGGTGTGCAGTGGAAGGCAGGAATCATTTTGAAGGGTGACAGAAGTGCACGCTGATTTGTTTATTTAATCTTGCAAACTTCAATTAATCTTAGTGGGATATTGAGTGTTCCAATCAGGGGATGTGATCAGATTGTAGTTTTGTATTTTCACTCGCTTTCATTACTGAGTTTGAAATTGTAACTTTGCTTTAAAATGTTAATTATTTTTGTCTAGGTGTTAAGCATGTTTCATACTATTCAGTGTTAAAATGATATTACTGTTCCAAATTACAACAACATTCTTGCAACATACATGTAGTTAGATTATTGGCGTCAAAGATAAAAACAGAACTAAGGCTTTGACTGCACTTTTTAGGGGAAATATCACAACTTGTGATACAAAATTGTAATGCTGAGCTAAGTGCACTCTAATTTTCATATTGAATGGAAAAAAACTTAAGTTTATGGAGCGGCAGAACAATAAGTTCTGGTGTTAAAAATAAATGCATGTTTTCGACTGGTGTTTAATCTTGAAAAATGAAATTTATCTCTAGATACAGAGGTGTGATCTTATCCTTGTGTACGCAGTAACATTTGCCTTTAAACTGATTTTATTAACAAAAGATACTAAATGGAAATGTTCATCAATAACTTTCAATCAGTTTTTCATAATTTTGGAGAGAACTGCTCAATGTTTTGGGGAAGAAATGCTCATTTTAACAAAATAATCTGAACTATATACTTAGAATATTCTATTTTTTTCCAGTGTTATTAACACCATGTTGGTGACAAGTGCTGTTTGCTGCTACCTTTTGTGAGTATAAACAAATCACTTCCTGTTGAAGGTTATTTCAAGTACAATGTGAACTGATAATTTTGCTTCCGATTAAATATGTTAAAAATAGCAGTCCGTGTTTAGAAATCCTTCTTCATTATCCAAACTCTGATCTATTTAGAATATAAATTTTATGTACCATCACTTAGAACTGTTTTGTGTATATTTAATCTTTTTTCATTTTTGTTCATCTGACGTTGAAAGCAAATTGCATAATGTTAAAAGTCTGGATGGAAGACTGTCCTCATTTTTTTGAAAGTGTTGATTGGAGATCACAAAATGAAACCTTTGTTCTCGTTGGGCCTAATATGCATTATCTAAGAAAGACACTGTCAGTATATTCTTTACATAAAACATTAATGTAGTATAATTAAAACCACAATTCCTGAATCTGATATTGGTCATGCTATTACTCCCCATATATCCTCTCGCAATTTAAAAGGTAAATGTAAAATGTATCAGATATTGATGTTTTTACAGAGGAAAACCTCACATCAGCAATGTGGTGACTGTCACGGTACTTGTTGCTTCTGGAGCTTTACATTACAAGTGACAAACTAAAAATGCTTAGCAGGTGTAAGCACTGTTTTATGCAGTGTTGATTGTTTCTTTTACTCTGGCAAATAATGCTGACCTTGGAGTTTGCTGTCCTGGAATGTATCTAAGCTGAATGGTATAAGCTGGTTCTGTCCCAGTTTATACAGTTACTAACACAGAATTCGTTAGGATGTGTTATCAGTGGAAACAATTGAATTAGTGCCAAAACAAATTGCTGGAAAAGCTCAGCAGGTCTGACGGCATCAGCAGAGAGAAAGCAGAGTTAATGTTTTGGGTCCAGTGACCCTTCAGAACTGTTCTGAAAGTTCTGAAGGAGGATCACTGGACCCAAAACATTAACTCTGCTTTCTTTTTACAGATGCTGCCAGACCTCCTGAGTTTTTCCAGCAATTTGTTTTTGTTTTTGTTTCTGTTTTCAGGCATTTGTGGTCCTTTTGGTTAATTGCATTAGTGAAATGGGCGAAGGCAATGGTATCTTTTTTTCACTCGGTTCCACCACGATGAGGTTCCTTGGGGTGGTTTTCTATTAGGCTAATTCTTATTTGAAAATTTATTAGGAGCTAGCGTTGATAAAATACTGCATGAATATAGTCTGGTAACATAATTATGCATTTATTCATATAAATTAGAATGCAAATCCAATCAAACCCAAACCATTTTTCTGAAGAAGGGTCTAGGCCTGAAACGTCAGCCTTCCTGCTCCTCTGATGCTGCTTGGCCTGCTGTGTTCATCCAGCTCTACACCTTGGTATCTCATCCTGTTACAGATCCTTATTGCCTGCTTGACATTTGGTCATTCCATACTACTATTGTCATATAAATTGAGCAATGTGTATCAAATCAGATGAAGATAATAGAGCTTTGATTATTTCACAATTACTTTAGTCTTTTAATAACTTACCTGGTGATCAGCCAGTAGTCAAGTGTAGCTCCACAATTGTTACTTTGCTCAAAAATTGGTCATTTCTTCATCTATATTTAAAGATTTGGCTAACTTCATTAATTTTTAGATCTGCAAGTTTACAGCATTGAAAAAAGACCAGCAGATGGCACTATGAAATAGTAAATGGTCAATGTGATGTATTTTGAAATAAATAAAAGCCCATGTTTGCTTATGTTTTCTAGTTATGAAAGTATTTATCTAGAATACAAGCAGTGAGCTAAATTGTAGTTAAAATAGGAAAGCATTTTTTTGATAGAGGCAGTAAATCTAAATAAACCAATAGACTTACAAAAAATCAAATGGAAACAGTAATGGTGACTGCAGTCTTTGTTTTTGTTCTCCCCACCCCCAAGCTCCAAAAAGATGTACTTTATATGTCAATAATTTGGGATGTGGATTTCAAAATAGAGGCCGTTGAATGTGGGTCAGATTTGCAAAGGTCACTTCTTTAAACAGGTTTAAAAAGTCAGTTGAATAGTGGCCAACGTGCATCAAGTCAAAGAAGACATGTGACTGCAGTCAAGTTCCTTGGAGAATCCTTTTGGCATTAATGGATTAAATGTTTATATTGCCAAGTTTACAAAAGGCCCGAAAGCCACTAGTCTAGTTTTGACTTCGGAAAAGAAGATTCAAGCTCTCCATTCAAAGGGGGAAAAGGTTTGTCCTGGCAGGAACATGAAGCTTTTGTTCAAGGGAGCCAGTCACCCTAACCAAAGTGTTTAGGTGTGGACTTCCAAGGTAGAGTTTGGATAGAAATTTTTTTGGAGCCATAAAGGTTTATACCATAAGACTGTGGAGACCTTTTTATAAGGAAAAGGAATTGGAGGACTTTGGTTACATAAAAACTGAGTTGAGATGGGAGTGAAATTTTTCTTGAGAGGATTGTTAGAACAGATTGAAAATTTGTTTTGCCATTTAGGTGCTTTCTGACTGTTGTAGTATAGCTTGTTTTAGTGTAATAAACTCATTACTTTTTTTTTTAAAAATGTCTTTGTTCTCAGCAGAATATGTTTCGGTGAACCAACCACCATGGTAACCAACTGCAGTAGTCAAACATATAATCTATCAAGCCATGTTTCCTTCTGAGATTTGACTTGTCCCCCAGCAGGAATCTTAAGTCTGCAAAACATTACCTGAGGATAGTAGCAAACTGCTTCTCTGGGATCTCAACCTAGACAGTAGATTTAGAAAGAATTGTTCTAAAACTTTGCATTTACCACTTTGTAGTGCTATGGTTTCATGGGTAGTATTTGTATTGTGAAATTTAATTTTCCTGAAGTTTTGCTTTGTCATTGTGTTCAAATATTGTTTGTCGCTATTTATGAAAAATATTGGATCAGTTAGTTACTTGGCTTGGATCCCATGTTGTAGCTATGTTAAATTTTAAACTTTGCAGATCCTCTGTTCCATTAATTGTAAGCACTAATACTGAACAGGCTGAAGATTGACAACATAGATCAAGCAGATTAAACAGATTTTGACCTACGATATTGAAATAGGGCTGAGCAGTTTAAGCCTGTAAAGGTTGCCAACGATTTACTTGAGATTATTGCATCAAAGATGACAAAAAAAGAAACTTCTTGAAATATTTTATCCCGTGCTGCTCCAGGAGCAGCAGACTTGCAGCACTGACTCCCTGGACGGTCAGGATGAAGGAAACTGGGACAACATGCTGGCCTGACGGTGAGGTTGAAACTATGCAGTTTCAAGACTTTCCTAGCAAATGTCCAAAGTATCAAAAACAAAATGGATGAACTTCGATCTAGATTTACCTACCTGAGGGAACTTGGCTCACCCTTGCTATCCCTGACTGTGCCCTACAAGCTGATGGGTTCTCCATACACCGCATGGGCTGCACGGCATCTTCGGGCAAGGTGAAAGGTGGTGGGGTATGCTTCCTGGTGCTCGTAGTGACCCTGGCAAGCCACTGCTTCCAGGATCTGGAATACCTTACAGTAAAGTGCCATCCCTACTACCTACCATGAGAGTTCACCTCTGCTATCTTGAGAGCAGTCTACATACCACTCCATGTGGATCTGAAGAATGCCTGAGAGGAGATTTACACCACCACAAACACCCTCTGAGGCAAAATTCCCCGAGGCCCTATTCATTATGGCCAGCGACTTCAACCAAGCTAACCTCAAGCAGGTGATGTCAAAATACCACCAACATATCTCCTGCCCCACCAGAGGACTGAACACATTCTGGACCACTGTTACATGACCATCAAAGATGCCGACCACTCAATCCCCTGCCCACACTTCGGAAAAGCCAACCCACAGTGCTGTGTTCCTCTCTGCTTACAAGCAGAAACTGAAAGGGGAGAATCCTTCAGGAGACAAAGTACAGTGCTGGTCTGAGGCAGCATACATCTGTCTCTGGGACTGCTTGGACTCTGTGGACTGGACCATGTTCAGCGGAAAGCCTAGACAAGTATACCACCACCATCACAGACTTCATTAGCAAATGCATATGCACCAAAGAAGTCAATCCGAGTGTTCCCCAACTGTAAACGTTGGATGAACCGGGAAATCCACTCCTTACTGAAGACCAGACATGCAACATTCAATTTGGGTGACCCAGACCAATACAGAAAATCACGATATGACTTCCACAAAGCCAGTAGGGAGGCCAAGAAGCAGTACCAGACCAAGTTAGAGGCCCAGACCTACCAAATAGACTCCTGCTGTCTATGGCAAAGCCTAAACATCATTACAGGTTACAAAATGAAAGTGTAAGATAGCAGACAATGACACATCCCTCCCTGACATGCTCAATGCTTTCTATGCTGAGTTTGAGCAGAATACCACTAGCATGGTGACGCCTGCTCTGACAGCCCCAGACACATTTATTCCCTCTGTCACCATTTCAGAAGTCGGATCAGTCTTACTGGGAGTCAACCCAAGGGAAGTGATGGGCCTGGAAAGTGTCCCCAGCTGAGCAATCGGATCCTGTGCTGACCAACTAGTGGAGGTATTCACCAACATCAACTTCTCCCTCCTACAAGCCAAAGGCCCCACCTGCTCCAAGAACACCACCATCATCTCCGTACCTAAGAAAACATATGCAGTATGGCTTAATGATTACCGCCTAATAGCTCTGACTTCAATAATCATAAAGTGCTTTGAGAGGCTGGTCATGGTCCACATCAGCTCCAGCCTCCCAAATTGCCTCAGTTGCCTACTGACATAACACGTCCATGGAGGATGCCATATCCCTAGCCCTGTACTCATCCCTGGAACATCTGGACGACAAAGACACCTACATCAGTCTCCTGCTCATCGACTACATCGCTGTCTTCAATACCATTGTCCCCTCCAGACTGATCTCAAAACTGTGTGACCTTGGTCTTGGCTCTGCACTCAGCAACTGGATCTTCAGCTTTCTGGCGCACAGGCTGCAATCAGTGAAGATAGGTAACTGCAACTCCTCCACATAACACTCAACAACACCCCCGCCCCGGCGTGCATGCAACCTC